GTCAGCGCCACGAGCCGACAACACAGAAGACTCCTAGAAGACCCAAGGCCGTCTCCAGCCACAACCAGTTCCACTATGACCATCATCAGGGAGAGCGAGTACCACCAAATCCACTTAGGTACCCTGTCCGCCACCACAATGATCAAGTCAACCCTCATAGAAGCCTTGTGAGGAGCAACCCTTGGGAAAAAAAATCATCAGGGGGAACAATACCTGAAAAATCCAAGCTTTCATTTTGACCTAGCCCTGTTTACAAACCTTCCTAGCCCTGGCTACGTTAGTTAGATCACAAGGACTTAACATAGGGACTAGCCATAGGTTTTCCCACCATCTAGAACACCCTAAAGACTTCCACCCATCATCATGTCCAGGCCTTTGAAGAGATAAACTTCGTGGATCAGCTGAAGAACCCTCCTTCTTCAACAGCAAATCTGAGCTTCGAGCAGAAGCTAGTCTTCGAGGACAAAAACTGAATTGAGTGGGGGATACTGTCACAAGTGTTCTCTTCGCCGCGCCATCAAGTGCCATCCATCGTGCTTACAGCTGCCACTCCAGTGTCCAAGTGTGTGTCATGGGTGGGCTATGCATGTATTTTTGTATGGGGGATTGCCAATGGCATTCTTATAATTACCTAGTATGATTTTTTATCCTTTTGATGTATGTTTATGTCACTCCCCCAAAAGCTTAACGTACTCTTTGAGGGGAGGTAGGTAGTCGAGTGAATCAAGAGCTTATAAAGGTTAAGCATGAGATCCCCTCGACACTGAACTGTGTGCTTATGCTTGCCATCCATTAATGCAATACAAGTTACCTTTTTGTCTAATTTGTGTGCCATATTTGTTGCCTTTTCTTGTGTTGTTGCATGTGGCTTAGGCTTACTCGTAGCATTTGAGTGCCGCACGGGGCCCCAATGACTAGCCTCATGACTCGGTGTCAGTTAATTTAGCAGGTCTCCGGGGCCACCCTTCTTACTCTTCTTTTTACCCAAACTCCAAACCGGACCGAAATTAGCCGCGCCAAATTGCAATAAGCGGTTTTCTTAAAACCGACGGTCATCCATATCCAATCCAGCACACGTGCAATCGGAACGGCCCAGACTGGTTAACCGGTGGACCACAATTACGAGATGGTGATGGACTGATTGAGGAACGTAGTAAGCATTCGTTGTTCACGTAATCACGTCCATCAATGACAATGATAGAGTCGGAGAGTTGCGGATAATCAGTAAGGTCCAGTGCTCCAGGCCCATCAAAGGGACAAAGTTACGTCAATTGGAATTTGGAATTGGGCCCAAGTAATGGAAATGGGGGTCCAATTTAAGACATAAAAAACGGACTAGTGGTAGTGGCTAGAGCCAAATGGGGAATGGACATGAACGGGAATGGGTCCACAAACAAAAACGTCCAATGGACGCCCATTAAAGTTTCTTCTTCGTTGATCTATGAAAAATATCTGGTACTAACGGGGCCGATGGTGGTTCAGAAACTACCCTTAGCTGTTGCCACATGGACACATGGACGTTTCAGAAAAAGAAATTGTTATGATACTCCACATCGTATTATAGTTGTAATTTGGAAAGGTCTAATAACAGCTGGACAATCATAGCGACGAGACCACATGATGTGATCGCGGGGAGAACGTACGCCTCACCAGTTGTACAAAATGGTTTATGATTTTATTTATCAATTTTGAGAAATTTATAGTTCAGTTCATCTCAAAAAAACTTTTAGGGAATTTTCGACTCCATTCCACCTCTAATTTCAACTGTAAATCTACAATAATTCAAAATTATAAAGAGCTCCACTTATAACATTCATATCCCAAATTTTTATTAGTTTTTATGATTTTATTTACCCACACCTCCACCTACCGTTTACTACTTCGTGAATTGTGAATTTTGATTCATTCCCCCATCTCCCAGTTTTAAAGTTGTACAAACTGTAGCCCCCCCCCCCCAATAAACTGCATCCTATCCGAATTTGGCATAGGCAGGATTAAGTCTACACCTAGACTTAATGTAGGAAAAGGTAGGGAAACACCTTTACAAACCTCATGTCTTTCTAGGAAAATTCCCAATATGTATCCTGTACTTTAGGTCGAGTGTCAATTTAGTACCCAAAC